TGATGTTAAATTTGCTTAAGAAAATAATGATTAAAAAAACTTTGAAAAGTGTATAAAAGGAAAAGTGTCAAACATTTGGTAAAAGACATTGTTTAATGTTTATATTTTGTCAAGAGAGAGATCAATGCATTTCATCAAATACTCTTAAAATCTATATTTCACACAAAAATAATGCAAGGAATACACCAACCATTAGCAAATCAAAAGAAGGTTAGAGACACAGTAAATTTTAATTAAAAATTGAACTATGTGTATTATCATAAGATGTGCTTGTAAAAATAAGAAAATAAAATACTAAAATGAATAAAAAAAAAAGTGATGTAATCTTAAGTTAAACAATTTTACCATCAGCATTTTGGTTTAGGGTTTAGGATTTTGAAATTGAATTAATTGACTAACATGAAGAAGCAAAAAGAGTGAAACTCATGTATTTAGTGATGAACATGCATTTCATGTTAAGCATAAGAGCCACTTTTCCATGCCCATTCATATCAGCATGAATGGAGATTACTTATAAACTTTGAAATTACATTATAGACCTTATTTGGTAGTTACATTTCTTAGGTCGTTGGAAATAGTACATAATGGTTTATGAATTAAGAAAAAAAAAAGTCCATTTAAATGTTGTATTGTAGTTATTCTGGAATACTGAGCATATAGAAATTGAAGGAATAAAAATGCAATGCATGGAAGATGAGTTAAAAACATTATAAAATATACTCATGCCGCATAAGTAAGTGTTAAATTTAATGGCTTGTAAAACTTTTCTTAGTTACCATTTACTGTTTTAATTATGTTTACTTATAGCAATATGTTTGCTTGTGTCAGTAAGTAATGTTATGATTAGTAGTTTTAGTTTGCTTGTATTTTGGACATATTTGCACTCCAAATGTTAGTGGGTGTATGGCCTTTTACTAATAGCATGTATAGGTATTATGATGGGCTATTATTTCTTATGTATTTGCACTTAAATATCAATGCATAGAAGCATAATAGTATGGTTATGCAGCAAAAACAAAAATAGCTCTGTTCTTCCCTTTCCACTCTTCTTCTTATATGATTTTATGGTTCTATTTTATATTTTATGGTATTGATATCTTCATTTAATAGTGGTATCTAGAGCTTTGCTCTTATAGGTTGTGGGTCTGAAAAAATTGAGAGGAAAGATTAAACATTTATGAGTAAGTGAGTGAAAAATGGCTTCAAGAGACAATGTTGTGTTTTTTATTACTCAATTTTTTGTAGAAAATTTTCATAGATGGGTAGTCAAAATGAGATTATGTTTGAAATCTTTTGACTTATAGGAATACATAGATCAAGACAAGCAAGTTCTAGCATTGGGAACTAATCCTACAATGGCTCAAATTAGGCAACATGAGAAGGAGACTGTAACATCCCATATTTTGATTTAAATAAATGAGGTTTGTTAAAGTATAATTGGAATAGATTTGGATAGAATTTATTTAAAAAAAAAAAAAAAAAGTGAACAGTAAAACCGCCTATGAACAGTGTCGATGAACAGTAAACCGCCTATGAACAGTGAAACCGCCTTTGTACAGTGACGATGACGTCATCAATGACATCAGCATGACGTCACATCCGCGTACAGTACGCGTACAATCCGTGTACAGTACATGTGCACAGTGTTTCCGGCGTGAACAGTTACCGCGAACAATGTTTCTGGCATGAACAGTAAGGCGGTGAACAGTGTTTCCGGCGATGAACAGTAAATTCTGGCGGTGAAACAGTAACTTCAAAAATTTTCTATAAAAAGGGGGTTGCAGACGAAATTTTCATTTCTTCACTCCTATCCAAGGTTCTCAAAGGTTCTAAAGTCATATCTCGCCATTTTCTCCCATACTAAACCTCCTAAACTTAGATTTTTCTTCAGATCTGTGATTTTACGTTCGATCTAAAGGATTACAAGTAAGTTTTTCTAAGTTTGAAGTTAGATTTACCGTTCGTTTCTCTTCTTCTTCTTCTTCTTCTTCTTCTTATAGATGTTCATGATGTTCTTAGGAAAACCTCCGTTCTAGAGTTAAACCTTTGGTTAAATCCTTGTAAAAGCTCTGTTTTGAGGTAAGGGGGCTCTACTTTATCATTTCGTTATGTTTATTACTTGTATTCTCATAGATCTTGTCATGTATGTAATTATATGTGAAATAATCCCTGTTTTATGAGAAATAATCGGTGAAAAGTGAGAATAATTAGTTGTTTATGTGATTTTATGATGAGTACATGGTGAAATTGGGATATTATGTTCAAATAGGGCATGATAAGGTATATTGAGGATGGTTGATATGATTTTATGATTTTGTGATATAAAATATACGAAGAGATGGATGTTTCATGTTTGAATATATTGTGTTTTATGGAAAAATGATGTGTATTGTGAATGTGCCATGGTTTGATGTATATGATGAAAAGTATGTGGAAATATAATGAAAAATATGTGTAAACATGATAAATGGCATATGTGAACATGTGAATATGCTCAAAAGAGTATGAGATGGAAAAAGATATGATGTAAATAGTTACAGAGATACACTGGGGAAGTGGAAGATGGAGACGATATGGGATATCTTGGGGAAATGCAGGGTGGTGAGTGACATTCGGGATTGTGCACGGAATATTGTGTTCGAATGCACCACATGGCCACACACTCATTTCTCGACTTGACTCCTGACCATTACCTTTGCTAACGGGCCGTCTATTGCATGCGTTGTATCCGTATTGCATTGGGCCATCCGGCGACTATTTACATGAATGTGTAAGACCTCGAGATAGAGGCATCGGATAACTGTGGCCACAGGGCGCGGTAAGCGCGGATAAAAGTAAAAGAAATTGTGAATCTGTGTAATGTAATGCGCGTTGAGATGAGAATATGCTTTATATAACCTTGTGATATGTAATGCCATGATGTTTTCGTTAATCGTGATAAGATGTGTTTTGTGAAGAATGTATATGTTATGTATGAGTGGTAGGGTAGAGACTCACCCTTACACAACATTTTTCAGGAAACCAGGACGAATAGTACCAGGCTCAGTGCATGGATGGATGAGAACTGCTATAGGACTTAGTTATTTTGAGTTATGTAATGAATATTTTCAGTTCTATAGCGTTCTTTTGAAAATGTTGTAAAACTACTATTCCTCTTTATTGCTGATGAAAACTTTAGAATCTTTGTTTTCCTAAAGTACTTATGAATTAATGAAATTTTACTCTATGAACCTTATATCATTTCAATGTCTTTTCCTTATTAGAAAGTTTTTAAGGAAAATTTACTTTACCATATTAATTTTTATGAAAATTTATCATGTATTGAGGAAAGAAATATAAGGTGTTACAGAGACCATGAAAAGGGAGAAAGTTGTTTCGTGTTTACATTCAGCCTTGGCAAATGATGTTTTTATCGGTTTTATGCATCTAGAAACAACCAAGCAAATATGGGATGAATTGAATGAGAGTCATGCAGGTGATGAAAGGGTTCAGTCCATTAAGCTCTTGACTCTTAAAAGAGAGTTTGAGATGCTAAAAATGAAGGAGAATGACGCAATCAAGTGTAACACCTTCATTTTGTTATTATTATTATTGTTGTTATTATTGTTATATCTTATATTATTTGTTTGTGCATGTTAATTAAAATTAGGAGAGTTTAAGTGGTGTAAACTACAGGATATCTTGTTATAACGAGATATCTCTTGTATTGGCAAGAATGATCATTCAGAATTAAACTATCTAGAACTCTCTCATTGTAGCAAGATATTATCGTTGTAGTAAGAAGTGGATAAGGATGACTTAACAACCCTCTCGCTGTAGCCAGAATGAAAGACAATAAGAGGAAAATATTATCTGATTTTTCGCTATAACGAGAAGTCCTCGCTGTAGCGAAAATGTCATGAATTGGAGAGTATTTAAGGGTTTTTAACCTAAAGAACTTGGATTACAATTCAAGTTATGAACTCCTCTCCATTCTTTCTGATCTCTCACTCTCTTCTTTTAGAAAATCTCCCTTAAACCTCAATTTTTCTTTAAATTAGAGCTTGAACGTTCATTTTGATAACTCTAAGTAAGTTTCTTGGAGCTTAGTTCTCCAATCTTTGTTTGTTTTCTCTATTGTCTACCTTCTCTAAAGTGATCTCTCTTGTAAGATTTAGGAGGAACTCAACTCTTTGAACAAGATTCTTCACAAATCTCTTTCTAAAACTTCATCTCAAGGTAAATAAGAGCTCTATTTCGTCATTATAATAGAGTATATTTTGTGCTCATGAGAATACTATTGTATGTTTTCTTGTATGGAAATATATGATTGAATGGTATTTGAGTGTTGTGAATATTGATGATGCATATTTGGTCCATTTAGATGATTGTACTATATTTCTGTGCTACATATGCTAAGAACTTACTCAAAAATATTTTGAATGAGCATGATCTTTTAGTTGAATGATATTTGATTATGATGAAGGGTTAATAATGTATGTTTGATTGATTTTGAGCGTTCGTACTATATTCTTGTAACATGTGTTTTGAACTTAGTATGGAGATGTTGTATGTGACACCCTTACTACTTACTAAGCAATAAATATAAATACAATCATAAAATAACTAAGTAGTAAGAACATCACATGCATGGGTATATATATATATTCAGATATAGTGAATTAAATACATTACCATTACTAGAAGTCTTCATTTCATACATACACGTCATCTGTTAATTTATACAATCATCCAGTTATCTAAATATATACATAATTGAATTACATACGAAATAAAGTGGGGTCACGATATCAAAGATGACAACCCAAAACGAAGACCTCATGAGCTTTCCCCTGGATCCATGATCACCAAAGTGCCCATTTCCTCCCAAAATTCAACAACGGTAAGGTTAGGCTTCCTATATACCCCTTTTTCTTTTCAGTCAAAAGTACTTACACCTATGTATATGTATAGATTATTCCTTACTCGACTCTATCCTACTCTCCTTTTTCACTAGATTCCTACTCAGAGGAGGTAAAATTAGGAAGGAGTCCTGCTTGAGAAGCAGTCCTCTTCCTTCCAATAGCAATAGAGGTGTTTGAACAGTGAGAAAAATCAGGATAGTCTGAAGAACTAGAGGAAGACGAAGAGGAAGTGGATGAGATAGAGATAGGTCTTGCTAAAAGTGTGTCAACTAAACTAGTCCGTTCAACAGGTGGTAAATATGGTATAGAAGGACGTAAAGGTCTAAGGAAACCTGGGGGTAATACCGGGGGTGATAATACAGGGACAGGAGGTGGGGTAGGGGGTCGCACAAACTGTACATCTGGAGGAAATGGAAAAGTAAGTCTCATGGGTACTCGGATGGGGATAGGGTAAGCTCGTGGGCTTGGCCCATTTCTATCTAACAAAAAGGTAATAGATCCAGTGTGGGTGAATCGTTGTTGCTCCCAGTCGTGCACCCATCTTCCCTCGGGATCATATCTGATCGAGACGCTGAATTGGTACGGTGGTCGAGCCATCAATGTTCTTACCTAATAAACATATTCACACACAACACACACAGCAATAAAAAGGTGAGACAATTCGATTCAATCTCCAGCAGCAAAAGACATATAAGAGTTTCAATCACACAATTAATTATCAACACCCATAATCTACCAAGCAAATGCATATGCCATGAATGAGAAATGATGCAAGTCTATTATTATAACTTAGTACATTTTGACACATGCATGTGGGCCCAGAACCATCAATCTGTTTCTTTTACTCAGGGAAGGATCAGGAGTTTCACTGTTACTTAACTGCCAACTTTGTTAATCTCATAATACAGTAACAGCTCTACTAATACAAAAATCTCTCGGGACCAGTCAGGATAGTAAAGTTTTGCAGTGAGAGTCCACAGCACAAGGTGGCGAGCCTTGGCCACTGTCAGATTCAATCACACGTCACTATCCCCAAGACTACCCTGGAGCCGCCCCTAGATTTCTTATACTTTCCTGTCCACTCATCACACTATCACATGTTCATGATGCATGTCTTTATTCCTAATTAATTTAATTAGAGAAAAAATTTAATTTTTCTTTTTTGTTAAGTACAATCCTTAACTTTTTCTTTTCTCAATGAAATTCGACAGAGTCTCCTCTGTAAATCAGATATTCCAAAATTTTCTTCTTCCTGTAAAACAACCAGAAAAAAATCCAGAATACTTCTAATTTATTAAATTCCACCTCCATCACCTCAAAATCCAAGAAAATCATATCTTCCCCTCTTTCTTTAAATATGTTTTCATGCTTAAAAATTGAGGACTTAATCATTTAAAAAAAAAATGATTCAAGCCTTCCAAATATCCAATACTACTTTCTCAGTAATATAATTTATTTATTTATTTTTATTAAATCCATTTTCTAAAGAAGTCAAAAGATACTTGTACTATATATAAAATACATTATATATATATATACACCTTAAAAACATATTTTCTTCTCTCCAACAAGTCTGAATGGACATTTAGATTATGTCAATCTATATGCTCACATCACATAAAACTAAATTACTTCCAATCTTTACCATTATATGACATTCATACCAACAAGAATATCTACACAAACACATAATGAGAATTCAACCAATTATAAAGAAATAATTCAATACAGCACTTCAATCATAAATCATTCCAATACATTAATTTAAATACACAAAGGACCTTACATATAAGGGAGAGTCCTTGTTCAATCAATTTCCTGGTCTAAGGCAACCTTTCATACATGTCCAGTACTATAACAATCTTCTAAAAATTATGGGTTAGCTCTAAAACAACCCAAATTCATTTTATTTGATTAGAACAATAGAGAATTATTCCCTTATGGTTCTTAATGCCACCTATTGAAATAAAATCATCCCACCCCTTACCTTACGGATGTTCTTTGATGAAGGTATGGATGAATTTTTTCTTTTCTGATTCTTTAGAAAAACTCGAACAATCCAATCTTCGAAACGATCAACCTAATCAATTAATCATGCCTAAACATAATTAATACTAAGGAGATGTTAATTTTATACTCTTATATGTATATGTAAAAATTGAAATTTTCTAACTTTTGCTATAAAAGTCCGATTAACACAAAATTAGTTTCTATAATCTAACTAATATAAAAGGAATAAAATGGAAGTGAAAAACACTCACTTCACCTTCTCTAAAACCACATGGCAGCCAACCCTTGTGAGGGTTTAGTGCTTTTTAATCACATTTTTGAAAAACTAATTATGTAAACAATATAAGCCATGCATAGTCTACATATAGTACAAAAGAAAGCAAGTTTAAAACCAATAATTTTGAAGTAAAGTAAGACCCATTTTTACTGTTCATGACAGCCAAAAAAACATGGAAAAATTAAAATTTTAATCGGATGAAATGATAATTTACAAATAATTAAGCTTAATTAAGGATATATATTAAAAACATACCTTAAAACAAGCTTAAATGAGTGGAAGAAAATGAAAATGGTGAAAGGGAGAAGAAGGGGTTATGGACTTGGAGAAGAAGAAGGTTCACGTAAGAAAGTGGTCAATTTAGTCAAATAGGTAAAGAAATAATAATATAATAATCAATTATTTTGCTATTTTAATGTAATTAAATAAAATAATTATGAATAAAACTCAAAAATAAAAATAATTGATGCCAAACAATTAAAATAATTATAACATAATTTTTGACATCAATATCTCCTTAGTTATCACTTAAAAAGAAAAAGAAAAAGGAAAAAAAACTAATCACACAGTTCCTGTTAACACATAAAACAGTATCAACCAAAATCTAAAAATAAGCAATAATTACCAAAATAATTATTTTTACACTCCAAATATTATTTCTAATTAAAAATATAAATTTTATTATTTAAAATAATTCTTCGTAATTAAAAATGCTATTTTTATCCTCATAGAGCAATTTTAACCGGTATAAATGAGCAATTATTTTTATTTTTATTTTTTTATTATAAATTTTTTTTTCCAAAAAAAATTGAAAAATTATAATCTAAATTATAATTATATTAACAAATTAACTGTTTAGAAAAACGAGGATGTTACATCTTTTTCCCCTTCAAAGAAATTTCGTCCCCGAAATTTACATACCTTATGGAAAAAGGTAGGGGTAATAGTCCCTCATTTTTCTCTCTAGCTCCCACGTAGCATCTTCATCACCAGTTCTACTCCATACTACTTTTACGAGCACAATGTCTTTTCCTCGTAATTGTTTAACTTGTTGATCCACAATACGTACAGGCGATGTTTCATAAGTAAGATTGTCTTTGAGTTGTATTATGTCAGGCTCGATAATATGAGATGGGTTAGGAACATATTTTCGAAGTTGGGATACATGAAACACGTTATGAAGATTAGAAAGAAATGGAGGTAAGGCAATTTGATAGGCTACAAGGCCAATCTTTTTCAAAATTTGGTAAGGTCCAATGAATTTGGGTGTAAGTTTCCGGGGCTTCATCGCCCTTCCAACTCCAGTTATGGGTATAACCCTCAAAAATACATGATCACCTGTCTGAAATTCTAATGGCTTTCTTCTTCGGTCATAATAGCTTTTCTGCCTGCTTTGTGCTGTCCTCATCTTCTTTTGAATCATTTTAACCTTCTCAGTGGTTTGCTGCACCACTTCCGGTCCCAAAATTAGATTTTCTCCAGTCTCATACCAACATAATGGAGTTCTGCACCTTCTTCCATACAAGGCTTCAAATGGTGCCATTCCAATGCTTGAGTGGAAACTATTATTGTAAGTGAATTCAATTAATTGTAGAAATTGATCCCAACTACCTCTATATTCCATTACACAAGCTCTAAGGAGATCTTCTAGTGATTGTATAGTTCGCTCTGACTGTCCATCAGTTTGAGGGTGATATGCTGAACTAAATCTGAGCTAGGTTCCCAATGCCTGTTGCAAACTTTCCCAAAATCGAGATGTAAACCGAGGGTCTCTATCTGATATTATACTTGATGGCACACCATGCAATCTCACTATGTCCTGGATGTACAACTGAGTCAACTTTGCTAATGAATAACGAATATTAATAGGCAAGAAATGGGCAGTCTTGGTCAACCTGTCAACAACTACCCATATTGCATCATGATTAGTAGAAGTCCTTGGCAATTCGCTCACAAAATCCATCGCAATACTATCCCATTTCCACTCTGGAATATCTAAGGATTGTAACATTCCTGAGGGTCTTTGATGTTCAACCTTAACTTTCTGACAAACCAAACAAGATGATACATATTCTATTATTAACTTCTTCATCTTTGGCCACCAAAATAATTTCTTCAAGTCTTGATACATTTTGGTAATACCAGGATGAATACTTAATTTACTTTTGTGAGCTTCCTCTAATATCATCTTCTGAAGATCTACATCTTGGGGTATACAGATTCTTTCATGAAATCTTAAAATTCCATCAGAGCCTTCGTGAAAATCCTTTTCCTTTCCTTGGATCATCAACATTTTCTTCTCTTGTATAATTACATCATCTTGTTGAGCTACCCGAATTTGTTCTAGAAAATCACTAGTGATCTTTAACCCTCCAAAACGAAAACCCTTAGGAGTAACCTCCATGACCAAACTCATGTCTCTGATCTTCTCCACTAACTCCAATTCTCGTATCATCATAGTTGATATATGTAGAGATTTTCTACTCAAAGCATCTGCCACCACATTTGCTTTTCCCGGATGGTATTGAAGTCCAAAATCATAGTCTTTCAAAAACTCCATCCACCTACGTTGTCTCATGTTTAACTCTTTTTGATCAAACAAATATTTCAGACTTTTATGGTCACTAAAAACTTCGAATCTTGCACCATATAAATAGTGTCTCCAAATCTTTAATGCAAATACCACTGCTGCCAATTCTAAATCATGAGCGGGATAATTCTGTTCATGAGGCTTTAACTGTCGTGAAGCATAAGCCACCACCTTCCTATTCTGCATTAGTACACATCCTAGTCCTTCTCTAGACGCATCACAATAAACTTCAAAACTTTCATAAGGATTAGGAAGTATCAACACAGGAGCAGAAGTCAATCTTTTTGATGAATCCATATTTTGACTGATATTTTAGCATGATTCTAACACAAATGATAAGAAAAATATATAAAGAAAGCAGAAAAACTTAGAAAAAGAGAAGGAATTGAATTTTGTTTACATATGTAGTTATTTTAGCAATTGTGAAATTTTTGCTTAGGAATTAAGTTTTTAATCTTGTTTTTATAGGAATAAATTGAGCAAGGATCATATTCATGGAAGTTTGATGACAAGGAAGAGGAAAGAAGCAAGTCTGGACTCCAAAAACTCAAGAATAAGAAATTGCAGACTGGGCGTGATCACTATTGTCAGTGAAAGTGATCACTTCAGAGCTCAAAGAAGAAGTGAAGCCTGGGCGTTACCACTTTTATCATTAAAAGTGATAGTTCCAGAGAAGCAAAATATTAGGAAAGCTCTGCGTAACCACTATTGTCATCAAAA